TCTCTCTCTCTCTCTCTCTCTCTTTCTCTCTCAAGCGCGCGGTAGACGTAGTGCAGGTTGCCGGCGGAACATGGAGCGGACTTATTCAAATTTGCAACAAGTACTGGTTCGATATCCTGTCGAGACATTGGAGTTCGAACTACATTCCGTAACGTTCCATGTTGCTCGGAGTTAGTCAGTTTCTGTACAATATAGCGTTCATGGTTGGATGGAGGATTACAGAATTCAGCTGCTCTCGACGATTTCTACCGACCTCGCATTTGTACACCTTTCTGAAAAATGAAGATTGACCGTTCCGATAAGATCGAGAAGTAACGGACCGGTAGTATGCCGATAGTTCACGCGACGTTCGCATCTACATCGGAACGTCGCGATAAGTCGAAGATTCATCCTTCTCCGCATCCGGTTTTTACACGTCGCGTCGCTCTTTCGAGCGAGAGCTTCGCAGGTGCATTTGCGACTCCGCATAAAACGATCGATACCTCTTTCCCAGATAAATATAGGTCCGAGAAAAATTCCTTTCCCAGATACCGTCGTGACAATCGCAATTTATAACGAGAGCAACTTTCTCGTGGGAAAATTATTAGATCGACAGGAATATTCTCGTCGAGAATATCGCGAAATACGCGGTGATGCACGCGGCGGGGTAGCGCGCGCCCGTAGGAAACGAGCTTTCGATCCTCTCTCAAATCCAATATGTCCACGTGATGGATTCTCGTTCAACTTGGAAACGACCGAGTGCGAGGGAGCGAGACTAATCGCGCTCCTTGCGCCGATCGTGCCATTATTCGATTCATCGTGTATCGATAAATCTTGGCCGCCTCGGAAGTTCTTAATCCACAGACTTATCGGGCTCGACGCGTTATCGGGGAGACGCTCGACGGATCGGCTTTCATCGCTTCGTCGTGATTAATTAACATTTTCAACGCGAGTGATGGAGTTAAACTCTGTTGCTTATGTAATTTGCCCATCCTGGCCGGTTCTACATTTTATACTTCGCTCGGGCGATTTTCACTCAACCGGAGGTTCTTAATTTCACTACGTAAAGGCAGATGATATTGGTTGAAATTAAAATACATCATCATGTTACTTAACACTTAATAATTCATATTAATAAATACCTCTATTTCTTTAATTTATTTCTTTTTAATATACTTTTGCAATATTTGTTTGGTATAAATTTATCTCTGCTCAATCTCTTATTAGTTTACGATACTCGATAAGTATCCATGTCGCTTTTTTTTATTTATTAATATCCTACAACTATAGTTTTGCCTTATTTACTCTTGTGTACGTGCGAGCCGTTGTTGTTATGTACGAGTAAAATAGCTTCTAACGATGTAGCTTGCAAACCGTGCGGATTCTGTTCGGAGCAAAATATGGTACAACGTGGGCGCGACATGGGACCGCAAAGGATGATAACTCCCCCGGGTGCTAGAACTATAATCACAGTCGGCTTGATAACGTAAAGAGCAGGCGTTATGAAGGGTTGGATGGCGTGCGGTGGATCAATCGTCTAATACAAGCTGTGAATATCTGTGAATACACGTACAATTATGACGCTCTAAGCAGTACGCGCGGTACAACTTGTACGCGAATACTCTGACTGGAAATTATTCACGCTCAGGTTAATCGATTCGTGCCGCCTAAGTATATTATTATAGCCGCGATGCTCAAGACACCCCTGCTAACTCGAGAGATCCAATATTACGGCGTCGTAACTCTCGACACCGAGGTAAGCTATGTTTAACGAATAAGTGACGGAAGGACGGAAACGAACCGCCGGATATTCACCGTGGCATCCCTTCCTTCCCTTGCCTTGAAATGCAACGCAATCCAATCCGGAGATTGAGTGTCGTTAAAACCACTCGTTTCTACCGTCGGATTTTATCCGTGATCTTTTTCATTTCTTAAAGTGGCTCGAATCCTCGATACACATGATTATTTACAGCGTCAGAGACGCGCATTTTCTACTGCGTCCCTGTAGTGAGGAGAGAAAACTGCGATCCTTCTCCATCAATTTTCCATATACACGCTTTCATCGTAATATTTTATTTCGCATATTTTATGACTGTCATTTAAGCTTTGATATTTCTCTGCAAGCTGCAGAACTTGTGAGAAATCAGGATTTTCGAAAGAAAAGATATTTATTGTGAGAATTTCAAAATTTCTTCTTCTGTTTCAATATTCTTCTTCTATTTCTATCTCAAATTGTTTGAATTTGGATATAAATTGATTTCGCGTATCAATTTCGGGGTTGAGTACTTTTCCGTACTGTTCTATTCGTATTTCTATTTGTGCGCTGTTTGCGCTTTTTAAACTCGAGCGAACTTAAATTCGCGGAAGGAAAAGAGTAAATGTATAAACGCAACAGTATGAAAAGAAGTTATTTTCTCGGTAGAAAATTCCTTTTCGACGAAATTAAAGTTCGTGCGTTCATCATGTGTGTGTGTGTGTGTGTGTGTGTGTGTGTGTGTGTGTGTGTGTGTGTGTGTGTGTGTGTGTGTGTGTGTGTGTGTGTGTGTGTGTGTGTGTGTGTGTGTGTGTGT